GTTTCAAATTATTTTCCTTTACGTTTAATCTAACTTCTAAAGACAAAATATTATGCATATAAGAAATATTTGCAAATCTGATACAGTTGAAATTCCATTGAATGTCAATTGAGAAGTGATTTTTAATCAATCACAGACAGCAGAAGATCATTTCAATATGCAAACACAGTTTAGCAAAACTCACAGAAATAAACAACCAAAGTGCTTTTACTAACACAAAGCATTTTTGTTCTAGAATTTCTAGAAAAAATGTCAATCAACACTACTACTATGCAAAAGAATTAGTACTTTCTTTCTATGTTTGAAATTAAAATATAGTTGCACACTTCTTTTGCATTTTAGTACATTTAAAAAGAGTATTAATTCCCCCCTAATAGATAAACAAAATTGAAGCCTTAATATTTTAATGAAAAAATGTAAACTTGAAACTTTTTTTCACAATGATGAATGTGTAAATCTGGAGAAACACATTATAAACATAAAAGATATCAAATCAATAAAATAGTGACTTAAGCAAAAACAAAATTAGGGAATTTACTTGAATCAATTAAGAAAAAGATTAACAAAATGTTTTTTAAACACACATAAAAAGAGGGCAGAAAATGGAAAAAATTAAAACAATTTTCTGATATGGAATTTATGAAAGAAACTTTCTTGGAAATGTCCGATTCTCTTTTTAATGATTTTAAGAACAAGACTCAAATTATTGTTGTAATAAGTCTCCAAATACAGTGATATCGCAGATTAAGAAAATGAGCAAAAATATGCAAACATTATAAAGATATTAAAAATTTCCTTAATATTAATACCCTTCAGCTTGATGAGAGCACAATTGCTTATTTTTATTCACATGGTTTTTAAAGATTATACATCTAAACGAGAAGTGTTGTGTATGATTTCTTTGAAAGAAGGATTAGTGGTGTATGTATATTCATCTTTTTAAAAAAAGTGCCTCACTAATTCAAACTACCACTTTTTAAACTAGTTTCAATAACAGCAGAAACAACGAGCTATAATAGCTTCATAAATAGATTTACAACTCTATACCAAAATAAGGAATTCCAAAGTTTTTTTTTAGCAATCACTACATAATTCATCAACGTGCATTAGCCAGCCAAAAAAAAAAAAAAAAAAAAAAAAAAAAAAAAAACTAAATAATAGACATAGCACTCCATTTAAGCTGTTAATTCCATTTAAGGACATTCTCTCAAATGGTATTTCTTCCAACTAAAACTTGATGAAGAACTGCCAGAATTATTATATGCCAATATAAAATGGCTAGACAGAAGTAAGCTTAGATAGAAGTAAACACAAAATCGTTGTAGAAATTACAACGATTTAACGATTTTGTGATTTATTAACAGAGATAAAAAAATTCCTCAAAGAGCAAGATCAATAATGTGCAAATTTAAATGATGAAAACTGGCACAGTGATTTAACCTTTCTTACAGATTTTACACTGAAATTGATTTAAATTTAAAATAGCAAAGAAAAAACAAGATAGTTGAACTGATTAATAGCATCAATGCATACAAAGCATTTATATTGATTACAGAAGATCTGCAACAAAACAACTTGAATCACTTTCCTAATACATACGATCAAGAAAAACTCCGAAACTGTGATTATAACACTGAAAAATACATTGTAGAAATTAAGTGATTGAATTCTGATGTTAGATTTCATGATTTTGAAAAAGTTATATGTTATTATTAGTATCTATATTTTCCTTTTAAAATGGATTTAAATATAAAACATATGGATCCAAACATTTTAAACATATTAAAATTTTAATATGAAAAACAATGCATTTATAACTCCACAAACTGATCAAACCTTACAAGGTAGAGAATCTGAGAAAGATTTTTGAGCTTGCATTAATCGAGAAAAGTATCCTTTGTATCACCAAACATAGAAAAAACATCTACACTTGTTTCAGATCTACACAAGACTGAATGTATTATATATGTATATATGAAGACTAAATATATTTTCTCACTTACCGATTCCTATACTGATTATCTTTGTCTGCATGCATACCTTATAGTATGAAAACATATGACTGCTTGGCTGGAGACATACAGATGCAGACTTTCCATTAACATATATTTCAAATAAGAAATATTAACAATAAATGATCAAATTCCTTCTCCTATTGTACAAAACACAAGGATACCCTCCCCCCCCCCAGTGTACAAACACAAGCATCAATACACAAAACAGAACAATACTCGAGACACATTTTTAAGAACAGTGAATTGTGTGTATATGTTTATATATTTATATACACTGCTGGCCATTAAAATTGCAACACCAAATACAAAAAAGATATCTATTGCACATACACAGTATGGCATGAAGACAAAATGATTAAATTTAAGTATTTTGGAGGTTTACACAGGGATAGGAAATTAGAAGAAACAGCTGCCATCCCTGGCAACTAAAATAACCCTTACCTAATTAGGCACGGAGTCAAACCAGGCTTGGATGACAGAAATGAGCAACTCTTTCCATACTACTTCAAATCTATGCCACACTTCATCAACCATATTATCTAGAGAAGGGTGGCAGGCTAGTCTCTCAGCAACCCATGACCAGATGTTTTCAATGGGTGACAGATCTGGAGACAGTTCAGGCCAGAGCAGCAATCGAATACCCTGTGTATCGAGGAAGGTCAAAACACAACTTGCAACATGTAGTTTTGGCCTCAAAGGTAAAGTACAACTACTGAACGTAATATGCCAGAAATGTACCTATCTGCATTCAAATTTCCGTCAATCTGAACTACCGATGTGCATGTTGTGTACCCAACAGTGGCCCAAACCATAAACAACTAGGTTCAGGGCCCCTATGTCAATATCGAATGCAAGCAGGTGACGTGCAGTCTCCTCGGACACTCCAGACACGTATATGGCCATCAGAACACTGAAGGTAGAACCGGGACTCGTTTCAAAAGGCAACACTGTGTCTTTTCTGGACCCAGATTTGTCATTTGGTGCAAAAATCTGTGCTATACAAAGCCAAAATAACATGTCAAAAAATTGCACAAACTTGGTGTCCATGTAACACCAAAAATTTCCAATTTTCATCAAGGGGCACCCGTAAATATACTTTACCGAAGCCAAATTAACAGTCAGTAAAAAAGTATTTCTTTTTATTCTTTTATATCCAATTAATAAATGATGTTTTAGCCATAAAATAACACTGTTTAAATAATGTAAGCCATATACTATATATATATGCAAAAATATTATAATAATACATGTTGCACTTTCTTATGAGGTAACACTTGAGCAATTTATGAACTAAATGTATGTAAAATTCAAGTTGCATTAAGAAACATAGGATGGATTCCTTACACAGTTTGGAGGATTAATACAGGAAAAAGACCCGATGTACATTTTAGGTTTGAAAGAAAATTTCCGTAACTGTTCTCTGTGTGTACACTGGTTAAACCAGTTGGCAAACTTAAATATTGTCATCAAGAAAACTCAGCATTATTACAGATTTTAAAATGAGACTTTCAAAGGTGATATTGATCCTCAGAGAAACACAGCTTTTGGGTCTGCTCATGAAAAGTTGTGTTTAAACAACTTTTATTTGCCAAGTTTGTACAATTACTTCATTCTTCGCTTTCACTTTTCCAACCATTTGGATGATAGTTAAATCACCCCCTCCCCCCAAAAAAATTAATAGTAATGTAATACATACCAAATGATAAATAAAGATAAAGGTGGTCTCATTTTCTCAGAGACTTAATCGTTAATAATACTCCAACCTAGAATTCTGAACTAAGAAAGTTGTTTTTTGGCATCTGAACAATACCTGCCTGCACTGACCAATGCATGATGCAGCAATCAAGATAGAATATATAAAATGCAACTCCTTTCCCTGTTTGTGTAACGAAAGATTTTACTGTTGCCTTTACCATTAACACTGCTTCAGTCTTAACTGCAAGAGGTTAATGCACAAAAAAATGAAAAATTCTTGACAGAACATGTTCTTTACTCTTTCATAGATTACAAGTACTGTAGTTAAAACAGAAGTCAAATAATAATACTTTTATAAATGAAGTTGTTGTAATAAAAAGAGAATTTAATTTGGAAGGCAGTGTTGAATATGCTGTTTATTTCCCAAATTCCTAAAATCAGGAAAACCTGCTCCTTCAAATCTTTGAATTTCAAATTAAAAAATTTTGAAAAAGGTTCAGCAAACTGATTTTAAACCTACTAAAAATATGATAGTTACAAAATTAAATGAAAAGCTAAATCTCATCAAAAGTGTGATGATGATTCTTGAAGACACTAGTTCAGATAAAAAAGAAATGCCACAATAATAAAAAAGGGAAATACCATTGCTTATTGTGAGGAGCTTTCCACAGGTAGGAAGAATCTTTGCTAATTCAGACTTCACTGTGAAATTTCTTTCAAATTTCAAAAACTTATCGCAAAAGGTTTAATTTTAGATTCATAATGTACAGTCTAAATACTTGTGAGAATTAGTAATCTTTTTATCATACACAGTTATTACAATTCTAAACATAATAAAATTTTTGTTTAGAACCAATGAATATGATTTTTACTAATTTGATAAAAATTAATTGCCCAGTATTACCTGTCCTGATTTTAAGCTTTGTTGGACTAAATGTGTTTTCCCTTGGATCGAAGAATGAATTAATATGATAATTTCAGGATAATGCTGTGTATAAATTATGAAAGTGAAAGGTAAATAATTCAATAAAATTGCATAGAAATCCACCCCCCTCCTTCTTGGTCAAATGCTGATAATAAACATTCTTAGAAAAAGATTAATTAGCATGAATGAAAATTTACAGGACAGGTTTATTTTATATTGCACAACTCAGCATACCCTTCCCACAAAAATCAGATTTTAGCTATAAAAATAATGAAAGGAAATCCCAAATAAGCTTTTGGCTTAATCCATTAACATACTCTATAATTAAGTACACAAATAATTATAGAAATTAAGAATCAACTTACTTCAATAATTGATCTAAATTCCTTTTCACTGTAACACGATTACATGCAAAGACTAGAACACCAATCACAACATTGCTGAAATCTGGCAAATATTTCTGCTCGAATGAAGCATTCCTTAGACTTCTAATTTTATCTGGATATTCTACATAGAATAAAATTTATAATCGCAAGTATTCATGAAAACTGGAACGGTTTTACAAATGCTGACCATGAAACACAGAATTTTAATTTGCAAATTAGATATAATTATAAAAACTGCTAATTATAATAAAATTGCTAATTAACTTTACTGCTGCTATAATATAATGAATGAAAACTGTTTTAAGTTAAATTAATAAAATTGTTAATAAATAGTATGAACAAAAATCTTCCGAATTAAACAGGCCTCGAATATATTATTAGACCACTCCTGTTTAATGAAAACTTTTATAATCTTTCTAAAATATAGACAAACACAGCTTTTTCTGTCTTTATTAATGAATCTATCATAACTAAAAATGTTGAATTACACACATAAAAACTTTTCAAGAGATAAATTCTCTCACTAAATGAATAAAATATTAAATAGACATAAAATGTCTTTTTTATTATCAACAGACCTGGTTTCAATATGAGGTGCAGCTGCCATATTTGAGTACACACATAATAATTACAAATCATGCATACACATACCATACACGTGCTTGAGTACATATGGATTTGCACACTTCGTGTTTAACTACCATTTCAATGAATGGTTTGCACCAGCCATTTAAATGTAAACATTGGTTGTATAGATTCGTCCCCTTATATTGTCTCTTATAAATTATTTCTTTTTATTAAGAAAATTATTTTTATTCTCTCTTATATATATTTATTTATTCTTTTTCTATCTTCTTTTTCTTCTAGTTTTTTTTTTTTTCTTTTTTAAATATTTCTGAACAGAACAGTACCAATGAAGCTAGGGCTGGTGCAAGAGCCTGTGCAACCAGTGTGATCAAATCAGAAAATTTTTGGAATTTTTAAAGAAGAACCAAGCAGCAAAATTCCAAGAGAGGCACTGGGAAGCAGAATTTAGGGTAACAAAATTTTTAAAATTTAAGCAGGCCATCAGGCAGCAGAATTTAGAATCTGTAGATTGCACTGGGTGGCAAAATGAAGACCCTATACATCAAAATGAAGCATGAAGAAAGCCAAATAAATGTTTTTTACCAATTCACAGAGTCAGCAATGATTTGGAGAGGGATGACAATAATCAGTATCAGATAAAAGTTCAAGTAAATATTACCCAACAAAGCTTTCAAATTTTAATTTTTTTATGATTCAGTAACAGTGATTATAATACACAATAACAGACAATTAAAAAAATTCTCATTTTATTATTCCAGTGAAAGCTTTTGCCGACTAATTTATTAGATGTTTCATAACATTTTTCTAAATTTTAATCTAAAAAATAGAAATATATAAAAAAATGCATATGTAAGATTATATTACTTGATCTGAAGTCATGTAGAAGTCGTAACAGCTCATTGTTGGATTTCAGTTGATCATTAAGTTCAACTTCTAGCTGTTCAAGCTGTTGCTGGAATTTAGCAGAACGCTGAATCTAAATTTTAGAGAAAAAATTTTACATATAAATAAAATATTGTAGAAAGAAACAAAATTGTGTAATTTGTCAATTTCATTAAAAAAATTTCAAGATTACAGTAGTATTCTCTAATTTGCAGGTACCATATACACTCCCATAATGTCCGCACTTTTTTTAACTAAAATTACATCACTAAAATGCAGGTGCGGACATTACGCGAGTTGTTCAAATGTTGCGCCTTTTCTCGTGAGTAATTTTGGGTATAAGTTTCATTTCAAACAGCAAAGTTAAGTTCTAAGTGGAAGAAAGTTAATTTGTAATACAAGTGGAAGAAAATGGCATAAGCAATATAAGTATCAAATTTAAAGTTGTCTAATAGCTACCTAAAATTTACAAATTCATTTTCTCCCAACCATATGTATAATATAATTTGTCCCGCTTATGTTATCAACACTCGGTGTGTATTAGTTCACACAGGAGCACAATATCGAGGTATAAATTAACCAACGCTTGCAATTTTAATATTTACTTTTACACAAATTAAATAAATGTTCATTCTTTTAATATCTTGTGCACATTATTATTATTATTTTAAATTTATTCTGACGCACTGTATGAAAATCCATTTCGTTTCATCATTCCCTGCAACCAGCCTCCACAAGCGCTGAAATGAGATGTATGAATGTCTTCTTATGCCACAGCAAGTGCTCTTATTTGGCACATTTCCCGTCTTACAGCGTACCCTTGATTCAAACCAAGAAACACATGCGTTGTTTTGTTCATTGTTGCCAGTTGAACATGCTGTTTGCTCCATTTGTGCACACAATTTTCGTCAACATACACACTTATATACTCTTGCTGCTGCTCTTTTTCCATTTTCCTTCACAAGCGTTGAAATGAGATGTGCGAATGTCTTCTTGTGCCACAGCAAGTGCTCTTATTTGGCACATTCCAGTCTTACAGCGTACCCTTGATTCGAACCAAGAAACGCATGCCTTGTTTTGTTCATTGTTGCCAGTTGAACACGGTGTTTGCTCCAATTGCGCACACACTTTTCGTCAACATACACACTTATATACTCTTGCTGCTGCTCTTTTTCCATTTTCCTGCACAAATTCTACGACTTTCAGTTTAAAAGCCACAGTATAGCTGCTGTATTTTCCCATTTCAAGCACAGTACTTGCTAACTACCACAAAATCCGAATGATACTATGAATAAAAAGAGAAAGCTTCAAATATGCAAATGCTCCAAGGAGGAGGGAGGGGAAAGTAACTTCATTACAAAACCGTATTTCCGGGAAGCCAGTGTGGTGAAAATCTGTTTGTACTGCCTTCATTTGTTATCAGATCTGCCGAGCGGATTGCTGGTGCCGATGTTATGACTGAATAATAGCTGCACCAGAATGTAAGGAAAGTCTCTGCTTTTCATCCTGGTGCCAACCAAAGACAAAACAAATACATATTCTTTCTTTAAAGATGCTTATTGACTAAAGGCAAAAAAGGCGATGTTAAAAGAATATATATTTTAAAGCAAGAAATTCTTTAGTCTTTGGGGAGCGAACATCGTACGGGTTGCTTTCTTTCTTTTTTTTTACATAGATTTTATCTGTAAAGTTGAGGTGCGGACATTACACGAGCGCATACGGTAACACGTTCACGAATACCCATAATTACATAAATCTGTGGTTCTTCTTTAATGATCACGGTAATCATTGCATAATTAAATATCTTTTTAGAAGTTTTTAATTCTCAGATTGAAAAGGTCTGGTCTTATACCAATTTGAAATTTTTTAAAATATTTTTTTTAAATACATCATGCTAAAATTTCCAACACAGCAGCATGGGATAATTTTTTCTCTGTGTGAATAACATTTTTGAAACAGCATAATATCTCATCTTTATTCTATACTAAAAAAATAGGCTGTGCTTTGAAGTGAGCTAACCATTTTCAATCCTTCTTCTTCAACTTCTCAAATACACATTTTCCCAGTGTTCTGCATGTTACTTAGATCTTCTCAAAATAAATGAAAATGGAAGCCAGAGCTGTTTTACAGACATGTAAACAAGAGGTCTGAAGACTTATTGCAGGCACACATGCCATCCTTATAAGTACAAAAAAATGTTCATTGGAAATAAATTAAGAAAATGATTATTACATTAAACTTCATGTCATTTTATATGCCCTGCTTATTTATAAATTCCTTTTTAAGAGTATAAAAATATTTTCTTTAAGTCTATTGTTTTATTCCACCAGCGATGTGTAATAACAAGAATAAATCATTGTATTCGTTCAGTTGAAATCATGAGCCACCAACACGGCTCAAAATTCAATTCCATGTCATTGGGGTGCAACTGTACAAAATCAATACATCGAATAATCAATACACTCACTATACATCAGATAACTTTAGTGAAAACTTTGCTATAATCAAATCAATTCTTGTACAGTTAAGAGCAGCATTAAAATTATTAATTTGTATAATAAATCAAAGCTCCTATTAAAGGTAAATCTTTATTCTTAACTGCAATAAACTGATACAGAATTCATCAAGACTTCTTACATAACCTGCCTTTTAATCTGTTTTATTTTTTGTTTTCACAGCCATTTTCATAATTTTATTTAATATAAAAGCAGATTTAAATGACACCAAAAACCTCATGAATGCAAATACATAATTCATAGATTTAAACATCTACTGATAAATTATAGAGATGCATATTTATAGATTAAATAACTGATAGTAATTTTTACTGTCGTATTTGGTTACAAATATTTAATTTTCTCATTTTATTTTTATTCCCCATTTTTTTTTTAGGGAAATATTTTCAGCTTTACTATACTTTCTGTGTTTAATATAACAAAGTTACTTCACATTTTACATTTAAAGTAACAAAATTTGGTACTTTTCTGTCTCGCTGGAGCAAATCTCGCCAAGCAGACTTTATTGGCGACAGCATACAGTATGCACATAAAAAATTTTAATTCTAAGAATTTTTTATTTTGAAGGCATAAACATTTTAATGCGATTTAAAATTTTATAAAAAGCCAATAAATAAAGACACTAAATTTGTAAAAAGACATTAATTTAAGAATTTACTATGCTTTCATGGTTCAACATCCTGATTCACCGGTTCGTATGACGTGACCCAAAGTGATCATCTCGCGTAAAGTACGCTACAAAAATATAATTCTCTCAGTAATTATCTACATTAATTTCAAGTTCAATCTTAATTTGGAATACAAGTTTAAATACATGAATTATTTCAATTCGTATGAATGGCTTACTCAGAAATTATGCAAAACCGCAGTGCTTTACTTTGCTAGTGCATTCTCATTAGAATTGATGAATTTAACCCTTAATTTTGCCTTCCCTATATTTTCGGGTGAGCAATTAGATTGCATCCTAATTGACTTCATTACTGCTAATAATCTTAGGGTATAAAATTTAACTACCTTTTGTAAAAATTCCATGTAATTGTATGCCAATATTGAAAGAAACAATCAATCTGATAAGAAATGACTGCGACTTGTTTTGAAATGAAGCATGGAAGGTTACCAGCGAAGATATTCCGTTTGGCATTAGTTGTACCATTATTGGTGACTTTATCCTTTGTGCCGGCAAAATGGAAAAGTACCCAAAATTTAAATTTAACAAATCATCTAATAAAATTTTTATTTATTTTGATAGATTAAAAAATTCAAAAGTTTACTTGCACAAACACTTTTCTGGCCAAAAAATGTTCAAAAAGAAAATTTCACTAACTCAAGAAAAGTGGAAAGTAAATTATGGTTTCATACAAGGCGAAGAATTTCTTTGAGTTTTGAAATAATTGAGGCATGTACTTCAAGTATTAAGGCATGTACTTCAAGATATTAGGATATAAAACATAAAGAAGGATTACTTCATTTAAATCCAGAAGAAAATAATACTTACAGAAAGATGGTCTATGAATGGGAGGAAACACTAGCAGCAAACTTTTATTTAAAAAAAGACAGAAATCAAATTTTTTGTGGTGGAAGGAAATCACAGTTCATAAATTTTTACAAGAAAATGAAATAAATACAAATGAATATCATTTTTGTAATTTTTTTCAAATAAAAATGGAATTTTGCAAAAAATTAAAGATATTTGAATAGGTATTAAAATACATTTGATGAATGAAATTATAGACAAGCCAGCCTAAACTGATTTGGAGAATTGTTGTTATTAGTTTAGATAAAATTACCAAGAAACATGACACAAGGCAATTAATTGTTAAATCTTATTTAGTTAAAAAAATCCTAAAAAAATAGCTTAATTAATGGTTCTATCTATGGTAGTTATGCATCAATGCAACAATTACAATTTCTACACACCACTTGCGAATTTTTCAAAATGTAACAAACTCTGGCAACCAAGCATGTGTTAATTTTTCCTTTTTAACAAGTACTGTCAATCATGTCTGTATATATTTTTTTTGTTATATTCCAATGCTCAGTGGTTTACCTATTTGCAAGTAGATTTACCAATTGATTTTCAGGATAGAGACCTAAGTTAAATTTAAAATGTGTGTGTAAAAATATATATGTATGTCATTATAAGTTTGTAACCAATATTTTAACATAAACTGTTAGACTAACTGTGACAACAAGACTGCCCTCTGGTGAGTAGCCAGAGAAGTACTTCAGTAAAAGCCAAAGCTCCCACTTGATAGGTTGTACCAGACTGTTGCTCTGTAATTTTTCTTACAGTTAAATGTAATGTCCGCATGTAACTTAAACCTGTTGATAAATATTTGTTACACTATACCGGACTCTTCTATGACCCTATCGAAAATGACCCCTTTACAAGTTACCATTCTTCTTTTCAGGAAAAAGTCACCAAAATCACCAAGGTGGTTACACTAATATGCTAAAATATGTTCTATAATAATAATTGGAAAAAAAAAACAGCTTTTTGTCCAAATTTTTGAAAAATTTCTTGAACTTATTTTCACATTTTATTTTCCCAGTCAAGGAAGTATATATGCACAGATTTCTAGGAGAAAAACAGAGGAAGTTATAAATATTTCTTAACTTGTTCTGCTCAACACTCTCTCACAGAAAATTTAAATTATTGTTAAACAAAATTTTGTCAGAGAAAGCAGACCTTATTTTATACAAATAAGTCCAATGATTAATTAGGAAAAAGTGCATTAATAAGTTTGTTAACTTTTTGTGGAAGCAAAAAATATTTTGAATAAAAAATGAATGCTTTAATGTGGATAATAATATGTGCATTTTTAATATTATGTTTTTAGCTGATATTACATATTTTTTAAATTTTTTAAACCAAAAAATGTCCAGATAAAAAAAAAAAAAAAAACATTCCATTTATATCAACACTTAAATTTCTCTTTTAAAAATGTTGAGATTTTTAAGAGCAACATGAAATCTAACAATTTTCTATTTTAAAAAATGTCTCTAAATTTAAAAACATTTATGAACACAATGACATCGTAAAAACCAAAATTTTGAATATGCACAAATTCTGCAAAACTATTTTACTGAGAGATTTAGAGATGTATAAAAACATTCACCCATATCCAAATATATCTTGCAGCTTAATATTAAAAGCAGTTAGGAAAACTGAATATTTTTTTAGCACTGGTTATTTGAGATTAAAGTTAATTGAATTTACCAAGTGTGAAATAGAGAAATTTAAAGATGTCCAAGATAAAATTATGAGAAACAAAGGTAATTTACCTTCATGCACTAACTAAAACATGAAATTAAAATCTTAATATATTATATTTCACGAATGAAAAAAAATAGTGTCCTTTTAATAAATGGTTTTGGTACAATATGAATCATGAGCAAACATTTTCATTCAGGAAATGTATTGTAAAGTTGTATAAAAACTGCTGAATAGAAGAAAACTCAGAAGTGCATATAAAGTTAAAATCTTGAGATACTTGACAACGGAAAATTAATTTAAAAAATTGAAAGGATATCACTAAACCTTTGTCTGGTTAACAGTTTGAAGTTTTTAAAATATATATTTCTTATAATCTATCCCTAATTTAGTATTTATTGCAATGAATATTGGTTGTAGTTATTTTACTTATCATTACCAAAACTATATGTTCACAATTAGCAATTATCCTAACAAATAACATTTTCATTACAATTTATCATACCTCATTATCTTTACATCATCTTTTTCCTTAGGAAAAATTAAATGGCAGGCAAGCCAGCTTGTTAAATTTTATGTAAAATGCGGCACCCGTACACATGTTGATTGCCAAACCTTAGTTCTAAATGATTTTAATAGGATAATAATTAACACAGGCAATATAATAAATTCAAAATGCATTTTCATACCTTTCCTTGAGGCCTTTGCAAAAATAAGTGATAGGTTACTGCTGCCCAAGAAAGTAAGGCCAAAGATACAATTAAGATAAAAGTCCTTCTACGCATTGCCAGGAAACACCGGCAGTTTATTCATTATCTGGAAAGAATGATACAGAAATTATTAATAAAATAAATAAATAAAAAAATCTTTTCATATTTTAAATTACGCCCAAAGGAGAGTTTTTTTAACATTTTGTGTGTTACCTTTATTTATTAAATATCATGTTCTTTGCACTTAAACCATAAAATTCAATTCAATAGCAATGTCACAAAATAATTTTAAAATGAGCATATTTTTAGAATTTCCGATACACAGTTCTGCGCTCGAGATAAAAAGGTTTTCAGCCTCAATTTTTAACTGGGGGAGAGAGCAGACCTTGGAGGACAACTTAAAGCTGATTTTAGTGTGTGATTTTAATGTCTTGAAATATACCGGATTTCCCCCCCGACATATCTGACCTATATAAGTAATCCACAAACTCATGAATGTGGTTGCCAAGGATCTATCGATATCAATTTTGATATATCCTTCATTATGACCCAAGAATCCTGCTTGAATTCTAAGTTTCACCACCAGTATGAAGGAGTAATCAGTTTCAGTACGCAGCAATACATCTATTCACTATTTACAACCTTTCAACACCTGTCATGTACTTCACTTAGCATGTACTTTTTCTTAATAAAAAAACCATAAAAAGTTCTGTGTTAAACACTTCAGCATTAAAAAAAGTTGATCTTCAGCGAAAAAATTAAGTTTTTCAGTTACCTTGCTTACAAAATCATGATTATGTATACTGTTGCACCTACACACCAAAACTGGTACTGATGGGTATTGATGTTATTACCAGTTGTTGATAACATTATTTATAAGCATGGATTTTTTTTATTCATATGATAAGTTCTTAGAATGGGTTACACAGTATCTATGAACAAAATTTTGCATCCAGATGTATCCACTTGCAGAAGTTTAATACTTTCCATTGCCATTTACAGAACTTGCATCTAGAACACATACATTGCTTAGTATTTTATTAATAAATAAACTGTTAATAAACAATATGCTGATGAACACAATATCAAGGAATAGTCAACTGCCTTACCACCTTCCTTTCTGTTATTACATAAGTAACATTTATGTGGTTTTAATATAGAAAAGGGTGCCCTTTAATTTGGCACCAAATATTGACACTACCAGTTTTCTGGTAACCTAGAATCAATTCTGTTCCTCTAATGTTATGGCAGGCACATTTTTATTACATGCCAATGTTTTTCTTCCATTTAATCTGATTGGAACTTCTTAGTTTAGTGAATGAGGGCTACATGATTTGTAGGACATCAATGCATTTCGAATTATTAGAATTTAATTGCCGTTAATTGAACTTTGATTTTCATTAACTGGCTCATTCTAATTAATCATTGTGCCATCAACCTTCAAAGAAGTATGTTTGGTAAGATGGTCTTTTTTCATGATTTAGAGCGAAAGGGTGAGAAAGCTATAACTGATTAGTGTATGAAGGAAGATTTAATTACTTCTTGGTATGAATTTCAAGTTTGTGCAAAAGATGCATTTGATCGAGTTTAAGGATCAACTAGATGGCTACGAGAGGATTTGTTGTGAGAAAGGAGCTCATACCAACATCACTGAGGGCATGTGGAGCCATATAAAGTGGAAGTTTTTGCAAGTGGGGCCTTCAGCAGTCGTCGGATGACATTTTGCATTCCTACTTTATGGAGTTTATGCGGTGTTACGAATACTGGAATCAGGAGAAGGAGAATTAATTCTGGGACTACATGATTACATTATGTACGAGCAACAGTCATCCAATGCTGATAATGAGACGTACCTAAGAATACAAGAGATAAGCACTTTTGTTATTTTAGTAATACATGTTTTTGTTATTGTTTTGGATGATAGCCATCTTGGAAGCACTGCTTTTTGGCATCATTGTTCTTATCATAAAAACTGCGAAACATTTACACTTGTTTACCGTGGTACTCTTTTAAAGTCCTAAAATACCTCGATCATTTATGATAAAAATTCTGTCTATTTTTTCCATTCTTATTCAAACTCCACTTATTACATCATTTTAAGTATGAGATCTTATTAGTATTTTCCTTGTCAAGCAAAACCATTTAGTTTCTGAAACCTGCTGTTGGACACCACCGAAACATTTTAACAAGATGCAAGTCACTCCCCGAATGCATTCTAACCACTGTAGCTAAACATTTCTAATGTGAATTATATGTAGACTGAAAGGCTTGAAAGATTTTTCTTTATGAATACACTAAAGAATAATTTACTCAGTTACATATTCTAATTTTATATATTATTATTAAAGATCAACATAATTTTTTTCTAAAATTTACTTTAAAAATCATCCAATTTAGCAGATGTTTGAGTGCATTGCTGCTACTTATTTGTAAATATGATTTTTAAGTAAAGAACTGGATTCTCTAACCCTAGCAAATAAAGTACTGACACTGCCTGTTTAAGAGCTTATTTGTAAACTGGTAGATGCACCTTACTCCCTATTCGACTGTTTATTTAAATATCCCAAAGCATACAAGAGCTAACTACTAAAGGGGATAAATATCTTCATTGAAGACTTTCTTAGGAAACTGGATTGTATTAATGTTACATGTGGAAACATTTACTCTCTCAGACATAATAAAACAGATCAGAGAGCACACAATATTGAAAATAATAAATGATTCAATTTTCACCTTATAAGTATCATAAATCTTAACTTTCTCAGTTAAATGAGCAATTTAGACATTTCACATTTTTATATAAACAAATTTCTTGAAAAGCTAATTAGCATACAGTAGATGATGAAAAATAATCCAGAATAAATTGCTCTGGAGATTTGTCATACTAAAAGATATTTGCTAAAGAACAATTATGCACATAGTTTTAATTTATATGCATACTGTAATACAGCATGTATAGTAAGTAACATAGCAAGAGATGTAAAATAACCCAGAATAAATTGCTCTGGAGATGCCAAACTAAAAGTTATTTGCAAAAAAGCAATTATGCACATAGTTCTAATTTATACACAATGTGTAATATAACAAGAATAGAGCATTGAAAAAATTTAAGTTTTAATTAATATCCAAGACCACAGCGAAAAATAAATAAACTGCATTATATGTATCCTCGGAAAATACTATAAAAGTCGTAATTAAGAGCTGACACGAATTTAATAACATCTAAAAAATGCTTTTTTTTTTAAAAATGAAACTTAAATTACTATAGTTATAAATCATGTTGACAAAACTAATTTGGATTTCATAGATCTAAATCTTCTCATTTTATGTAAACAACACATAACTTTCAAGCACAACTAAGATACTTAGAAATTAAGATTTAAATTAGAAGGTCTTCTCAAGAAAACTTTTTGCACCCATTCGAATGTAACTAAACTTAATATTTTGTTTCCAATTTCTCATTACTTAGGAAATTAAACATAATTTTCGTGTGCAAAACCAATTCCGATTAAAGAGCTGCAAGTTACAAAAGATAAATCGTAGAACATTCAAACAACTAAATACATTCAACAGAACCGACGCAGAAGATATTTAATGAAATCACAAGATTTAGACGTAAAATAAAATATTAAATAATACCTACCGATGATGCCCTTTGGTCGCACTTTACGCAGAACTAACGAGAAGTCTAAGATGATATGAATATATACAGTCTATTTAATATTAATCTTAATATGATACAATGTAAGTTTAGAACTTCATTAAATGACGTGCAAAAATTTTGCGAACACATGTATCGCTTTTGTACAGCTAACATTTATCAAAGCGGTTCAAACAATTCCGAAAGCTCAGCACCGAAACTCCCTCATAGCCGCAACAACTTTGAAGCTTAACAGACGTTTACAAAGTACAAACGCCGTCACACAAGATGCGTGTTGCGTGACAATTTGTATACTGCCATTTCAGTAATTGTAACGTCACTGGTCGGGCCTAAAAATTTTCTAGTAGTTTCTTTTATTTTCAAATAATAATAAAAAAATTCGTTAAAGTTTTAAAAAATATGAAATCGATAATAAAACAAATTTCAAATCTGGTCTTCCACATGCCCATATTCGTAGGAGGATTACGTCATTCAAAATTCGATGTACCGTTGTTTTATCACAATGCGAGAAATATTATGCAGATTTTTCATTATTTAATTTCTTCAAAAAGTGTCTAACATTTGGTGGCAACAGTTTGAAAGTGATTCGCCATTTATAGTGATTCAACGAAAAATTGCAAAACGAAAAGAATAGTCCTTCAGGGACAAGGCCCCTTTAGACTAAAAAATCATCGAGTGACGTGATACGATTAAAGACAAGTTTATTGACTCAGTTTTAAAATGTATAAGGTGTACGTTAAAAACTCGCAAATTGTATTTTTGTGCTGGGTATGGAACATTCTTCAATGCAATGAATAAAATTTTATCCGTTCAAATTTCAGAAAGTAATTAAACGGGCATACATATGATTCCGAATGGGGAAGTACCCATTTTTTAATATTCCCCGATCACCCAGCTGTTCAGAGCGAAACGTGAAATTTGTCTGGTTTTTAATAAAAGTTATAAATATGCTTCTACCAAGCAGTCAGAAATAACCCGCAGTTGTATGTCAATATCATGAAAGTCAGGAACTCGATGGTTTGATCAGTATTGTTGCCTGCATTATTCAACGAATTATTAAAACTGGGAGACAGCTGAATGCGAGGAATGAAGAAAACATTCATGTTCTGATAAATGGCTGAAGAACATTTCCGAAAGAGAGAGAGAGTTGCTTAGAGGCAGCGCTGGCACCAGAGCCGATGCAACCGATGTGGTGATGATGATGAAGATCGTATTTTATTCTCGAGTGTTAAGATGTAGAAACATCTTTTTACTCGGCTTAAGAATAGAGGTCACAATTTAGGAGCGGCAACATTTTTAGACATTAGAAAAGTAATTGGCAGCAAAATTTACAGCGGCAAAAATTTTATAATTTAGAGAAGGGCTGAAAAGCAGAATTTAGATCCGGCAGAGTCTGCACTGGTGGCAAAATGCTTAGCGCCGGGTTTGCTTAGAGGTTTGAAAATTTTTGCAATCCAATAGAGTTCATTATCTCCACAAATTCAGGAAATACAGCATTTGTTAAAAGCATATTCTCTATCATGAACAATGAGTAGTTAAATGAGAAGTGAAAGCTCTGCTGAAGAGTGAGTGTTATGGAGGGTGCGAACAAAAAAAAAAGTAAAGCTTAGAAAAATCAAAATGATGAGTAGGATAATTTTATAAGACTCTTGGTACAGTAATAGCTAAATATTATAAATCTCTACTCAAGCATAAATTTTTTATATGAATCGTGCTGTTTAGAAATAATGGCAAATTTAACATGTTTGTATCATAGAATATTGTCTCTTATTTTTGTTCATCATGATTAATTCTCGTGCTTTTTGTGACCGTTCAAATATCCCGTATTTATCTTCTACAAAGTCAGACTAACGGTTCATTAATAGTCTAAACCATGAGGTCTCAACGGAGTCGGTATTTTACCATCTAAAGGTAAACAAAATTTTAAAAGAGGTCAGTGATGATCAAGGGGTAGACTGACAGATCGATAACTAAATATGTACTGGCAACTGAGCTGCATAACCAAAATCCACTGATTGAAAAAAAAAAAAAAAAAAAAAAAAAGAAAGAAAAAGAATATTTGCGATCCTCTTGAGAACACTTTCCGGCAGTAGCTATGCACCAAAGTAATAAATGCTATCAAAGTTTAGCTTTGATAGCATTAGTCTTTTCGCACAACTGACAGTCTAAGATTAAAGACAGTCTTTTCGCACAGCTGTGGGATAGCAATGATTAAGGTTACAATTATTTATTTCTGCACACGGAGATACGCTGGCTCTCCAAAGATTAATATTTTTAAAGCCTTTTATAGATACATTTAATATTCTGATAAATGTTTCATATGGCGACTCATGAAGCTAGAACGATGATCATCGATTTTTGTTTTAAAATTGACTTGCTTGCTACAATGCTATGTTGCAATGTGTATGAATTCCATTATTTTGATAACTCAGTGTGACTATCCATTATTATAGAGTTTCAAAAGAATATAGTTAAATTAAATTTAAGTTATTCCCTTGCGCCATTGTTGCAAGGAATGAAATTTGAATCTAACAAACATTCTCTATTCGTAAAAAGCAAATTTTAAGTTAATTAAATTTTATTACAAATAAATTGAATTACAAATAAATGATTAATTATTGCTAATCTACAATATCCTTTAAATTCTGAGAGTATATGTAAATCAAGTGCAAGTATCAAAATCTATGAATATATAATAAATGTATAATATATAATTCCCATAAATTTTTTAAATCTTAACAATTTATAAAAATGCATAGGTGAATAATTGTTGAGCAGGCAAAAGACAGACTTATCAAATAGAAGTTGCCTCCAAACCGAACTCTTCAATTATTCATTTCGTGTTTCGTCATCCATCTAGGCAAGGGTAAAAGGAAAATTCAAAACCAAATGTTGTGAATTATTAAAAAGAAATTTAAGCAAGTGGAATTTAGAGAAATTAGCAAGTAAAGACTAGCATAATTAAAGTCAATTAAAAGTAGAAAACCAATTTTTTTAGAAAACCAAAGTAATTTAGAAACTCTTCCCTACAAAAAACTTCCCCAACACGAATTATGTAAATAAATAAAAAAAATAATATAAATAGAATCTAGTTTCTTAATAATTTATTTGTAATTCAATTTCATTTAAAATTTAATTAATTTTAAATTTGCTTTTTAAGAATAGAGAATGTTTGTTAAATTCATTATTATAGAAGATTGTATTTTCTCAGAAGGTATATTGTTATATTCAGGTCATTTGCAAAATTTAAAAGAAAATTCTAACTTTCGCTTCATCTGATCTTAATATAATGATCAAAGAAGAGTTATTTTCATTTAAGGAAAATATTCAAGAGCGAATCTTATTCAAAATACGTGGGCGCGTCAAGTTACGAAATTTAAAAGTCATTCGAGAAAATATTCCAAAATAAAATTTTCTACAGAATCAACATTAGTGACGTTTCCCTTTTCTTAACAAGTACCAAGTGAACCACATGAAGCCACTCATTTACTAAGGAAAACAAGAAACAGGTTGAATATGTGATTTAAGAATTAAGTTAAGCAATTCATGATATATATTAAAAGGTTTAATCAACTTTTTAAGCGCATCAATCTCAATGATCAAAATGGAACTTTTTTTAGAATCTTCTGAAAGCTTGTTTATATTTGTAAAATTAAAAATAACAATAACAGAAATACAATAAAGCATAAAACTAGTAAATAAATTTTTTTGGAAACTTTTCTTCAAATTCTTAGTTTAACTGTTATCTTTAAGTTACTGATGTACAATTATTTGCATTTTGATTAAGCTAGTATATTTTAGAGATTATTTAGAGTATACTGTATATTTTAGAGAAAAATGTAACACAGCAGAAGAAGAAAACCATTCTTCTAAAAGCAGTCGACATATGAAAAGTGTCGCAATCAATAACGGGTCCAAAAGGATTCATTTGATCATTCAATAAGTATAAACAGATAGTGTGCTCTTAGACTCAGTTTTTCTGATTCTGTTACTGAATGATCTTTGATATTTGTCTGCCAAAAAACATAACTATAATGTATCTGGAAGTTCTCGTCGTTGCGTTTTTTGGCGTTTAATTTGAGATTAATGGGCTTTCGAAGCAGTGAGCTTTAAGAAAAACGTACTTGTTTATTATTTCGAGCTGCAACCCAGCATAAGTTCGAGAAGCTCAGAGTTGATAGGATTAAATGGAGTGGTTTCTATTGGTTCACTGAAAAAGTCAATAGTTGATGATTCTATATAAAATAAAATTAAATTAAAAAAAAAAAAAACTACATGCAAAGGGAGGATCGTGGAAAGATAGAACATGCATCAGAGATTATGGTACATTGTTGATGTTTTATGAGCAAATCTCATCACGAGGCTTAACGCTCTAATAATTTAGACATTGCAAGAAAAATTAGAAATGCTGAGATGAATGCAGTAAATCAACATTCTGTCACAAGAACATAATACTAAATATTAGTAATAATCAAATCTCTAAGGATATCAGCGTTTCTCATGAGACCATAGAACATTTTTCTCAATGATTCGTTAAATGTTACTTTGGAAAATGTTCAGTTTTAACGACATGTTTTGGGAAGGGCTGCCTATGTTGGAAAGGCATAACGTATGAAATAGTCCTATGAATGTAAAACAAAACGGCTTCTGATTCTCTAACGAATCGAATAAGGGAACGCTTGATACTCGCTACAGTATGAATCGTATGAGAATGAGAATGGGAGAATTAATGTAAAACTTTACTTAAAAACTGCAAACTACCCAGAATGTTGTTCTGCGGCAAATTACAAACGCACCATACTATATTAGAAACAATGCAAATCGTGCGTAACTAGGCATAATTCCACTGAGAAGTTTTTACTACCACCTGGCCAGACAGTTTCACATTCGTTTACTATTATAAGTAAATCTGAACTCAGAATTTATAATTATGATTATAAAAACGATACTATCAAAAAAATGCCAACGTCCATTCTCAATCCAAATATAATCATGGAATGATTTTTATATTTACTTTGTCATGTTATTCTGCATTCTTTTGTTTTTATTTATGTAACTTTATATCTATATCTTGTGTGTACTTTATGTATTTGTTCACCACTTGAGACCTATTGATTCAAAATTACCTTGATAATATAGATTCAGTAGACAGCTTTGAGGCTCGAATTTATAGTGCGTAAATCTCTTCAAAATTTTAATTAAAAAAAATACGATATCTCAAATAAGTTACTTCTAAAATATTTCGAAACTTTCAACTATGTTCGATTTGGG